GTCTTGCATGCGGCCGTCTCGATCAGGCTCACTTGAGCTCTACTGGAGTCCCTTCGATAATGCAGCGCCGTTGGAAGTCCGAAGTCGTCGTCAATTTCGTAGGCGCTGGTTCTCAAGGCGCCCTTCGTCAAACCTATCCTGGCCCCTGCGGTGTTCCTGGCCGGGTCGCCCCTGCTGCTCGACGTTTGGGCGGCTGGAGAACTCTTCGGTGCAGCTGCAGCACCCTACCGTGCGAAAAATCTTGAGGCTGCTCGGCGAAATGTCGGCCGCTTCAGCAGGTTCTGGGCTCAGGCGACCCGTGATTTTACCATTCTTGCATTCGGGGCTATGGTGGCCGGTGCTACTACTTCTGGTGCTGCCGCTTATGTCCCTTCCCGCACTGACTTGCGCACGATAGACGATGCGTGGAGTGACGTGGGTCGTCGCGCCTTGATGGCGCGTCTCCAAGAGTGCCCCCAAGGCCATCCCGTCGCGCCTTCCACTGAGGACGTTCGTTGGACCCTCAAGTTCTGCGAGGCCGAGGTCGAGCTTCGGATCGAGCGCATACGGTGGCGCCAGGTCATGCGATCTACGCCTGGCAGGCTTGCGCCATGGATCTGGACAGTCTTCGGGCGGAGAGATTGACGGCAGGCACGCGTCGGACCCCGAGGGCCATTTGTGCTTCCTGCCGCAGACCCATGGGCCGAGCAGGTCTCCGAGGCCTTCGATGCTTCATCTTGCCGTCCCGATGATGAGGATGTCGCTGCCTTCTGCTGTCGTTACCCTGCTCACATATGTTTCGACGACGTGGCCGCACGAGTACAAAAGATGGATCCTCGCGTTTCACATGCACGCCCTCGCACTGTGGCCATGAAGCATGCCTGAACATTGTTCTCGGGATCCCAACGCCACGGATGCATCGGACTGTCGCGTCTTGGCGATCCTGAATCGTGCCAGAACGTCACTCCTAGGACTTCAACACAGAAAATCAACGTAACCGTTGTACCCGCAACATCCTGAGTCCGTCCAAAACACAAACTCTGGTACGTTGATGATAGGAGTCCGTAAGACTCTTCAATATGTTGTGCAAGATGCGCGGGCGCAGGGCGAGAGCCACCTTTTGAAAAAGAACCGCCCTCAATTCGCAAATTGCTTGCGAATGTTTAGAACGAATGTGCGCCGCGCTAAAGCGAGAACCGCATTTTGAAAACCACTCGCCCTCAACCCGTGCAACTCTAGCAAATGTTAAAAATGAATGTGTGCGGCGCTAAGGCGAGAACCACATGTTCAAAACCATCCGCCCTCAATCCGTGAAGCTCTTGCACATTTCTAAAAACGAATGTGCGCGGCGCTAAGGCGAGAACCACCAATTGAAAACCACTCGCCCTCAATCCGTGAAAATATTGCAAGTGTGTGTTGTAGAAAAATGTGCGCGGCACTAAAGCGAGAGCCGCATGTTAAAAAACGGCCCGCCCTCCAACTGTGAAGCTGTAGCCAATGTTTAAGCTTCAGACACCCAAATGGTGAGGAAGTCTAAGGCGAAACGCCCGGCCCGCCCTAAAAAAGGTCTCGGGGTGACCCTGAGAGATTATTGATAAGGAAAAGGAATGGAGGAGAAGGAGGAGGAGGAGGATGAGGATGACCAGTGTCAACCCAAGAGTCATCAACGATGTTGGAATTAACCCTCCCTCCAAGCTCCCTCTTCACAGGCCCCTGCTACGATTCATTTCCATTGAAAGAACTGCTTCGTTGGAAGACAACCGTTCGAAGATCATGAAGCAAGCCAACAAATTGTTCTCGGGATTTCAACGCCGCTGACCAACGGCAATCCGGAATCGTGCGAGAACGCCATTCCTAGGACTTCAACACCGCAAACCACCACAACTGTTGTTCCCGCGAAATCCAGAATCCTCCCAAAACAACATTTCTGGTACGTTAATCATGGGACTCCGTGCAACTCTTACAAGTTTTGTAAAACAAATTTGCGCGGCGCTAAAGGGCGAACCACATTTTGAAAAAAGAACCGCCCTCAATTCGCGAAGCTCTTGAATGTGCGCGGCGCCAAAGCGAGAACCGCATTTTGAAAACCACTCGCCCTCAACCCGTGAAACTCTTGCAAATGTTGTAATGGCATGCGCGCGGCGCTGACGCGAGAGCGACATTTTGAAAAGCACCCGCACTCAATCCACGAAACTCTTGCAAATGTTTGTAACGAATGTGCGCGGCGCGAAGGCGAGAGCCACATGTTCAAAACCACCCACCCTCAATCCGTGAAACGCTTGCACATTTCTGAAAACGAATGTGCGCGGCGCTCAGGCGAGAGCCACATGTTGAAAACCACCCGCCCTCAATCAGTGAAAGTGTTGCCACCTTTGAAGCTTCAGAATCATAAATGGTGAGGAAGTCTCTGGCGAAAAGCCCGACCCGCCCTGAAAACTGGTCTCGGGCTGCGACAGGGAAAAATTAGTTATAAGGAAACGGAATGGAGGAGGAGGGGGAGGGGGGAGCGCCCCAGGGTCGGGGACCTGTCTCCCTCAAGGACCCTCCCCTGCGAGGCGACGACGACGACAACGACGACGACGACGACGGCGACGAAGACGACGACGACGAGGGCCAGCAAGCGCACACAACGGCGACGACGATGGCGTGGGGGGGCCGGCACGCGCGACGTCGTGGACGTCGTCGTCGACGTCCACGAACCGCTGGAAGGCATGAAATCCAATCCTCGGGTCTCCCAGACCCAATGGAGTCATGAAAAAATGGCGGCGGAGGTTTTTCATATTTCGGCCACTGGGGGCCCTGAACGGGCCTCGGACGGTCAAAACACGACTCAAGATGAAAGACCAGTCCAGGGGAATGGGTCGAGACCTCTGGGGGTCGACGTAATCAATAATCAAGACATCGTAAGTCTGGGATACTTCAGAGCAAGGGTCCGACAAACAACTTCTCCACCCAGGCGCAGCGCCAGGAGGCATATTACTATCGCATACACTGCCGATCGCCATGGCCATTGGCGATCGGCAACCCCATCGAGTTCGACGACAGCTTCGAGCTGGTGGCCCTGAACCACCAATCGGCCTTCTGCCTGCAGGCTGAAGTATGGCTCAACATCCAGATCCACAGAACATGCCGCGGGTTCAGGCTCCCATTTTGCAGTGGGCGGATTCCACTTCCATCATCATCACCATCAACATCATCATCAGCAGCCGCATCATCATCATCATCATCATCATCATCATCATCATCATCATCATCATCATCATCATTATCATCAGCGGCAGCAGCAGCATCACCATCATGATCAGCATCACCATCAGCATCGTCATGCTCATCATCATCATCATCATCATCATCATCATCATCATCATGATCATCATCATCAGCATCATCATCAGCAGCATCATCACTATCCTAATCATCAGCATCATCAGTAACATCATCAACCTCATCAGCATCAGCAACATCATCGCCATCACCATCACCATCACCATCACCACCGACACCATCACCATCACCATGACCATGACCATCATCAGCAGCAGCAGCAACATCGTCATCACCATAATGCAAACAAGCGTAAACTATAATAACATGTCATCGCATGCGGTCATTTTACTCGGGACGACCAACCT